TGTTTATTGGGCAAGTGTTAAATACAATACAATACATAAGTATCGGTGGACGGAGCATCGCAGTAAGTCAGCCAACATGTGGACCTCTGCGGGCAGATGCTTGCCAGTGGAATCTAGCCAGGGCGGCTGTGCTCGTGCCTCCTTTCTCCTTATGACTGGGATGAAGGGAGCAGAGACTACTGTGAGGTAAGACTTAAATTTATCTCAGGCAACCTGGACAGTATCATCGCGTGAGATCTCACAATGGAACCTCGAAACCTTGGCTCTTATTGATTGATAGTCTGCGTGCTATATGTTCGGGCGACTCAACAGTACTCTGGTAGCGTCTAGACAGAGTACAAGTGAACAAATAAACATGATCACTGGAACCCAGTAGAGGTCCGTAAGTAATGTCAAAAACAAAATCGAGTGACAGCAAATACAAGGGCTAAAATAGACGGTACTTGGGCGTCCATGTACCTAGTTGGGAGGTCAATGAAATGATGCAGCGTAAGCTCAAGTAAATCAGCGCCGAATGTGCCTGACGCTGTCGCAAGAAAGGTCAGCCTAGGAAAACCTCCGGGAGGTTGAAGGCGGCCAGCGCCAAACATTTCTTTGCGGACTGGGAGCGAATAAAGTCAAGTACCTATTTGAATATACTCCCAGGGCTTCTATGCACAATTACCACTGTAACCGGAGCCGAGGATGTGCCAATCACAGCCGACAGAGTTCAACAGTTTTGTCTGCCGACTGAAATAAGCACGTCATCAAAACGCCAAATCTACAACTCACATAAAGAGCGACGCCTCCCTGCCAGACAGCGGAGCGACCGCATCTAAAGTGCATAGCCAGATAGATGTACTTCACCTTCCGTAATGTCCTGAGACAGCCACGTTGCAGTGAATGCGAATATATCAGGATGACACCCATCTACAAGCAGACCTAACTCGTACACCTTACTCCCTGGGTTGCGCACATTACTTAGCACTATCTGAGGGTATTCGTTAGGTTCCGACCTGGGTCGTGCGCTACCAGAATGGGCAGTGGTAGGGCGGTAAAGGACCGCCGGCTGACTACCCGAAAACCCACTAAACGGAGACCTTGTTCACCGGCCGCTCGCCTGCTTTTGATGCCTCTGATGGCCCGCCTTAGCTTCAGCCTATGGGCCAGCGGAAGGTCCGGCTGAACACTAATATTTGTACCTTTTAGCTTAAAAGCAAACCGCATGAGCGTTGCCTTCCTCCGGGGTAGAGAGTACAACATGAAGTAGCCGCGGTCGAGGGTTTGGTGCCAACATACAACTATTGGAAAGCTGATTTCGATGGCCTCATTCTAGCTGCCAATCAGGTTGATTGGTCTATGCCACAGGATTCATCCGTTGAAACTTGCTGGGCAAACATTAAAGGGGCAGTGCACTCATTGTGTGCGCAATTTGTACCCCTCAAGACTCGGAAAGTTGGACCAATGAAACCCCATTGGTTTGACAAAGAGTATATCCGACTGTCTGGACAACGGCGCCGACTATGGAATGCGTTCCTCCTGTCTGGCTCTGCCGATGACTATGAGGCATACAAGCGACAACGAAACTTGTGCAACAGCACAAAGACGCGAAAACGCCGTCAGTTTGAGGAGCAGCTTGCTTGCTCAGCTAAAACTGCCCCGAAGCGCATATTTGCGTACGTGAAGCGACGCCTGAAGTCTGCAGGTGATGTGCCGGTGCTAGTGGGTTCGGACGGACAACCACTAAGTTCAAGCACCGAGCGTGCGTCCGCATTAGCGGCGCACTTCGCTTCTGTATTCGCAACTAACCAAACCTGCGCGCCAAGCTCTGCCGTCGCCGCACCGACTGAGCTAACCGACTTGATCTGCGACGTCGCGGAGGTACATGGGCTAGTCAGCTGCCTAGACAGCACGAAGCCAGCTGGACCGGATGGTCTCCATCCGCTGATCCTCAAGTCCTTGTCAGCTGTGATCTCACCTGCTGTAACCGACCTGTTCAACCGATCCCTGTCCATAGGCTGCGTGCCTTGTGACTGGAAATGCGCCGTTGTCAAACCGATTCCAAAAGGCGGTGACACACGCAAAGTGGAGAATTACCGCCCTATTTGTTTGACCGCAGTATTGTCGAAAGTTCTGGAGAAGATTGTGAAGAAGAGACTGCTCCAGCTACTGGAGACCAACTCTCTCCTGACGCCTGCACAGCATGGTTTCGTGAGAGGCCGCTCGTGCATCACTAACCTGCTGCTAACATGGCATGAATGGTTGCAAGCAGTAAACCAACGTAAGTCAGTCGACGTGGTATACGTCGATTTCAGTAAGGCCTTCGACAGAGTGAATCACGAGATCCTCCTTCAGAAACTGAGGGAGTGCGGAGTCGGAAGCTCGCTGCACCAATGGATCCGTGACTTCTTAGTTGGACGGAAGTGGAGGGTGCAAGTCGACAGCCACCTGACCGACTGGTACCCGTCGACGAGCGGCGTTCCTCAGGGGACGGTGCTTGGCCCCATTCTCTTCCTGATTCACATCAACGACGTGCCCAATCTCCTTCGGTCGCCGTGTGCCTTGTTCGCGGATGACCTGAAGCTATGGAGGGTGATCCATACGTCGGATGAATTTGACATACTTCAGCAGGACCTCGACCGCCTCTCCATGTGGTCCGCCGAAGTAAGTTTGCCTATCAACTCGGCAAAATCGCTACTTCTGTGCCTCGGTAAAGGTGGAGCGGGCCGATCGTACACTCTCGACGGCCAAGTTCTACACCCGACGCATTGCGTCAGAGACCTTGGCGTTATACAACGTTACGACATGAAGTCACTGGACAACACGGACAATATGTATCGCACAGCATTGCGTTCGCTGTGGGCGCTGAAACGTAGCTTCTGCACCTGGTCAAAAGAGATTGCCACTCGTCTCTTCACATCCATTGTACGACCGGTGCTAGAATACGGCTCACCCGCCTACTGTCCGTTGACGAAAGGCGAGATACACAAGCTCGAAAAAGTACAACACATAGACACACGGCTCATTCCCGGTCTTCAGGGTGTGCCGTATGAAGAAAGATGCAGACAATTGGGTCTGTATACTCTAGCCTACCGCCGCGTGCGAGTGGACCTCATCATGACCCATCGGGTATTGCATCTGGGTGCTTATCCGATGCTGAGGCCACTGCTCCATGTCCGTGCGTCAAGCAGCACACGAGGTCACCAGTACAAACTGGTAGTCCCTGACCTCAAGTGGGTAGCTCATCCCTTGTGTCTTGAGCGGCGAGTGGTGAACATGTGGAACCGTTTGCCCTCGCGGATAGTAGAAGCGAACTCGGTGTCGGAATTCAAACGATTCCTGGACGCGCACTTTGCGGATGCCAGATTCGACGAAGCCTTCACAGGAAACTGACGAAGGAATCGTTCAATGATTATAACCCATGGAGCCCGTTAATCCACCAACTGCAGCTTCCGAAACGATGCCCATCCGTAATAGGCAGCGGAGCTGGTGAAGGACTCCATATGGTTCATCCAAGAATATATCGTAAGTACATGGAGTTTTTTTTCTATGCTTGTAAATATTTTACTTTTTTCACCTGGGCTAGCTCACTACTACAGGTAACACTGTGTCAGTGGCACATGTCCTACATTGAGATATAGCAACATAGATGTTCAACATCTTTCTCGCTATCATGACAGTAAAGTAAAGTAAAGCATTAACTGGAACGTGCCCTAGTCTAATCGGCTTCTTGACAATAACGCCTGGAAAACCAGGCGGAAGTAGCTTTGTTACGCACATTGCGAACCATTGAACGTCGTCCAACTTGCGATCAGCAGGAAGAACATCAGTGCATTCAGCCGCGGTACGAAATATAATGCTACTATCCGTAAAAGAATCACCACGACGGGGTGTATTAACCTCACGGGTCTTTGGTACGATACTTGGAGCAGATGGCTTCACCACTGGTGATGGGACTGTATTTATCCCCTCAGATGATGTAGCAACGGCAGCGTGTTTTTCGATCCGTTGTCGATCCCTTACTTTTTTTGGGTCATCGATTGCATCAAAAAGCTTTATGTCAGATTTGGTCTGCTTCTTCTTGAAAACGGCAGCGTCTTGTGACGCTTTGTCGTTTTGAGAAGAGTCAAACAAACCGTTAGAACGTGCCTTCTTGGTGAGAGCCGAGATATCCGGCAGCTTCCACTGACAAGTAGTGCGTGTGGGAACCTACGCCTTCGCACAAACATCAGACGTTTTGACAAGCAAAGACACTCGACCTGTTTCCGATGCCGAGACAACTACTTGTTTGGCAGAGAGCTTAGGGGGTTTTCTGGCTCTTTCGTTTGACTTGAAGGGACCCTTGAACCAGCAATTCGGCGTCGATCAGAGTAGCTTTAGATACGACGTCCGAAGCAGCTTCATTTTCGTGGTCGCCAGCCATCTGGACGGGTGACAATGATTGGTGCCACAAGTTGATCTCCAGTGTAAGCGATCAAATCTGCGTAGTTGGAGACCGGAAGCGCCGTCGTGAGCAGATAAATCTTAAGGCGAAGATCTGAGAGCATCGAGAAGGGACGCCGTACATTTCGCAGCCGGGTATCAAGAGATAAGTTTCTCGTACAAAAGGCAAAGCGACCTTGCCGGCGGCTGCAGCAAATAGCACAAATGAAAAGCAACTTTTCGCTGGAGACCAGCGCTACGTACTGAGCGGTATTCAGGTCCGGGCAAAGCTGATGGTACCATCGGTTGCAGACGCCCTGCACACTGCCTGAATCGTCAGTTACTGGCATACTGCACTTTGAACTGCCAAAAAGTGCGATAACATCAGAATCCATGCCACCGAAAACAACAGCCTCGGTGCATTGCGAGACAGATGTAGTGAAAAACAGAGTGGAATTATAACGTATACCATAGTTAAAAAACCTCAAAAAAAGGAAAAACTGGGAGGGAAACGGGATTAAAACTGGGAACAACGGGAACAATTACCAGTAAGCGCCAAATACGCTTTGACCAGAAACGCTTAAATCGATCCAAGTTACCTTGGATCAGAGGAAAGTTGACAATAGTCAACTTCCGTTTCGAGTGTTTATTCAAACACTGTTTTCCACACTACTGTAGCTAAAAAGCTCCATCAGTATGGCACGCCAAAATACCGAGTTACCGCGTAGTACTCACAGTACGAAGATCCTCTTAGCGTATATTTATCCAACCACTGCTTAAAATTGGGGTTGGATTAACATTGTATTCCGTTTAAACGGTTGTGTTTTAAGCTCCTGATGGGAATGATGATGATTACAGTATTACAGTTACGGTGCTGGCATGGATAGTATTTAAGTTTTAGGGCTGCAAATTCTTTCCTAGTGTGACACCTTACGTCTTCCAACAAACAACGTATTAACAAATGCTAGATTAACTGTAATACTGCTTCGCAAAAGCTAATACTTTATGGCATGTCGAGAACGATGTCAAGTGTGAAGTATCTGTGTGGCAGTAATGGTTTGCGAGAAACACCGCGTGCAAGCTTTATATTGCGTCCATCCGCGAACCTGACACTCCTCGCCAGAGCGAAATGGTCAATAACCCACCACAAAAAACAGTCAGCAGGAATAGCGGAAGTACTGGCATGTGGCTGACAGCGATGATATCGCTTTACACACAGCATGCTTTCATAAGTTCTAGCAGCCCGATTGCATGTTCGTCAGGTGTAAATTGAATTTTGGTCTGACATATTTGATGTTATATTATCGGATAACTGTCTGAAAGAATATTTTGACAAATATTTGGCTTCTAGCAAAACCTTACCGATCTAATACATATTGGAACAATATTTCTTTTTGCGAATTAGTAACATCTACAACTGCCTTAGGGCGGATTTTATTTCTCTTAACCTTTGGAGACTTTCACCGATTGTTTTTCTAATCAGGATTCGCGTTTTGAGATTACTGTTTCGTTGCCTGCGAAGCATGCAGCAGTTGTCCAGTTAACGCGCCCTATTCTTTTGTCCGTGCTTGTTTACAGCATTGATAATGCATAATTCCTACACGGTATTCGCCATGGATTTTTTGGCCCACCAGGCTAGCCCAATTTATGACAGGTCGAGCATTGCTGGGCCGGTGGCCGACGAGCATGGCATTATGCAGCGCCTTGTCTGAAACCATTGGTTCTACCAGCTAGCTATTGGTATGCATTCTGAACAGCAAAAAATGCTTCCTGCAAGTACAAACTTGCGTTGAACTGACGACAGCTTTTTGCGGATTAAGGAAAAGTGGTCCAACTGTTCTCACTACCAAAAGCGCATCGCTTGACGTAATAGTGCAGAGTAAAATGAGAACTTTCTATATCTAGATGTGCACTCAATGCACTGTAGAAAGTTTCGTGGAGACCTAACCGTCATTTACTGTTTCCTACCTAAAGGGGAAGTTGGACCAGACCTGTCTTAGCTACCTAGCGCGGTCAAGCTATCTGGGGTCCGCCGTCATCCCATGAAGCTACAAGATCCACGCGCTGACCGGATAAGGTTGGGACGCGATTATTACATAACTTAAGCAGGGGCTGACACGGTTGTCACAATGTGTCGGCGAACTGCGGTTAAGGGTAGACTGATTCCGGTTTTCAAAGCGAGAAGTTTCCTCTACATGAACATATTCCTTACGCTATCCTTCTCCTGTTTTCTATGCTTGACAGCACTTTGTATAACCGTCCTTCACACAAACGACCATTTGTATTTACACTCCTTGGCTATGGCTTACTTGCTTGCTTCGTATGCCCGGAAAAGCAAGGATTGCTATAGCAGGAAATGTGGTTCTGTTTAGTGACCAGGGTGTGGTAGGGATGCTTGGTTTTAGATCCCCTACAAGCTGAGAGTTGTGTAATTTGTTGTGAATGACTGCAAAGCTTTCTAGCTTTTCGTACTATAGACAACCCACCTCTTGATACCAAACTGCATTGCGTGTGGCCATCAGCCAAGTTACTCCTATCTGTAACTACTTTTTTGCTCGCAACCTAAATTCACTTACATTTGGGCAAGTGGCCTAAAGCGAGGTTGCCCTGTGGTGGTGCATTGCCTCCACCAGCTCCACCGGCCAGCTAACATGTAACATCAACCGTCTTGTAAAATGCCCCCGTGTTCGTGCATCCAATATGTGCAGCAGCTCTAGATATTGTATTTGGCACTGCTTCAAGCCATATTGTTTTACGGGTCTTTGGGGCTGCTAGAGTAAAGCGCATAACTAAAAAGGAATTGCGATAACCTTTCGCCAAACTCGCAGCAGCCACTGCCCAGAACCGGAGAGAACACAGGAAACATCGCCATTATTCGGTGTGCTGCTTAGCAGTTCGGCTGAGAACTTCGCTCTTAAATACTGCTGCATATTGGTAGTTGGTGTCAGCCTTCGAGGCTGACACAGCTGGTGTGGTTTCGGAAAACCTATTGGATCCCATCCACCAGACAAAGAGACGCACGCCCCTGGCACCGTTCGTCCTCTGCGAAGGTACCCAAGAGATTCCCCTAGGTCCTTTAGCAGGCTAAGAAGGTGCAAGATATAATAAGGCTTGCGGGTCAGATAATCAAAGTGCGCTGCCGTAACTCCAGTATAACCTGGGACGAGACAGGCCGTGTCACCACCAGTGGTAAAGGCAACTGTTGTTGGTATGCCAATCCACTGCGCGAAATAAATGCTGTGCTGCTTGAGTAAATAACTAAAGCAATGTTTTATTCCCGACAGTGTTGGACACGTGTAAAAAGGCATGTTTATAGTACCATAGAGCGTAAAAGCAGTAACTGTCACTAGTGGTACTACCTAACTACTACATGCTGGAATGCTGTTTTCTGTAGATATGCAAGTGCAGGGTTCAGGAATAATGTTAGGTAAATTTGTTATTGTTTTGTTGAATTTGTGGCTGTGTTCGGTAAATTCATCAACTTGGGAAGGAAGCAAATAATTGGAAAGTCTATTTGAAGTACACTTTGTGTGGAAGTGTTGCGACGTGCCATCAAATTATATCTTCGAATTGGTTGGCGTCCGTGGTGGGGTAATATTTTCCGGAAAGTCAGGATGGAGTGCCATTAGTTTATGGTGAGTCAAACCCGCCACTTCACTGTTGTTGAGCAGACTTTCGGTGCGTTTATAGGGAGTAGGCTTGCCCAGCGAAAACCGATCACGGCTTGGGACACCACAGCCGAACCCTTCGCTGGAACATGATTAACCCGGACAACCCAGCTTCCACCACTTGGAGGTTGTTCGGCTTGCCAGCCTAATGGCTACTTCGGAGTACCCCAAAGTGTTATTGCGTTTGCGTTTAAACCTTAGGCTGTAACCTCAGTCAGGCTAAACTCGACCGACTCCCTGTCTGTCGGACGTGGGCTTGAAAAGTTTTATCTCCAATATGGTATGCAATGCGTGGTAGCGCACGTAGGATATGCTGACCAGGTGCCTACCTATCAAACACCCACCGCCTCTACTGTACGCTAACCACGAAACTAATTGTTACAGCGCGGGACGAGGAGCACAAGTCCTCGTGACGGCGCGAAGCGAAAAATTGTTTACCCCATCTTGGAGCGGGCTACGGCCGCACAACCGTCTTGTTTCCGTCCCTTGGCAAGAACTCCTAATTAAACTTACAGGAATATTGCCGCTATGCAAGTTAATTGGGGGTAGGCCAGCTTGGGTAAGAGAACGCCACTGCCATCCACATAACTCCCGGTCTTATATCTTCTATGCTACACCGGTTATCGTTCAGTTGGATAGTACTGTGAATGACGCTGCAAATGCCACCCACGGGCTGTTCCTAAGGATGCCACAGTGCTGGGCGCCTCCGCATACGTGTGCGACCAGTCCGGTAGATTTAGTGAACTTCCAGGTCATCCTCTGCCGGTGAGTGGATATAAAAGCAAGCCATAATAAGCCACAGGTACTGGCGAGCTGACGGATGACAATGACTCCGCTAAGCTCGTCTTCGGGTATTCGGCCGTCTGTATATAGCACACGTGCCAGTATCTGTCGTGGTGGCGCAGGATCCAGTATGTTCACATTGAGTGCATATAGATAGCGCTTAAGAGCGCACTTATCCTAAGTAAGGATTTTATATGCTAGTTCAAATTTTCATGGTGTAAACGCACCACAAAGGATGACTTTCATCTACAAGGCAGCGCAGTGTTTATCTGATATCTCTTTTGGTTGACAGGAAATGGCTCTCGTATTTTATGTAAGCTTTATGCTTGTTGATTTGGCGGAACGTACCTTCAATAATTGGACAAAACGGTTCAGCTGCTATCGCCTATTATTAGCAATCCGGCGACACAGTGTACAGTTGTGCTGGGGTTTTGAGGAAGTAATGCATCCAATGAGGAGCTTGACGTCATTCGCTCTCAGAATGAAAACAGGTGTCTAGAGCTGGGTAATTGCAGCACCTACGCGGTTGTCTTCTCTACTGCTTCCTGGCTTAGGGGTAGACACGTTCGGCGCTGAGCTTCTTAATCCTTTGCTGCAGGTCCCGTTAAATGCGTCTGGACTTCCTTACTAGATTGATGGATGTTATGTACCACTATATTATCCAGTTCCTAATATACTCGATTTCCTAGGATATGTCAAGTGATCGGTCCTCTAGAAGCTGCTGCTTGCGTTTGTTTATTATTTGTTCATGCCTTGTTTAGACGGCAGCAGCGCACCAGTGCTTCATATCTAACCCTTAGTTATGTGACCTATCAAGCAATGCGAAGTAGGCCTTCGGGTTTGCCTTATGAACTCTCGTTGTTGATACGATGCAGCTGGACTGGGATAAATAGCATTCGTTTCTTACAGAAGTGGTTTAACATTATATACCACTTCGTAGGGAGCAGGTACGCAAGCGCATGTACGCAAGCTCACACTGACAAGCTGACCAGGACTATATACTACCATGTTGGATACGCACCGACACTTTCTTATCTACATATTTCGTTGCCACGTCTTTTTATGCGCAAGCACCATTTTGCTTTACGCTACAATCACAGAAACGCAGCGTATCGTGCAATCGCGATTGAGCGTGTTCCGCACCAGCTCTTTGATAATTGATCAGGCCTAGTTCTTGATCTATTCATGCCTGAATTGTTACTGCACTTTATGGCAGAACTAATGTGCCCACACGTACGTGCCTGAACTCATGATAATGGGCGTTCTTCATTTTCATTTCTGTCCTATTTGTACAGTTTCAAATAAGAACGTATGAACAGCCTCCGCTTGTCACTTTTACAATTGAGATGACATATCTTCATAATTCCACTT